AAACATTATACCCTGATTTCCCATTTTCAATGGGTTCAGGGTATAAAAACGAAAATTAAAATCTCTGAAATATTGCACATTTTTAATAAAAACAGAAAATTAAAAGCCCTGAATTAATGCATAAACATAAAGTTTTTTTTTTTCATTACAATATTGCGAATTCAGTTTCAACTGTTAGCTTTAGTAAATCAATTAAGTTTTAACTTGGACTTTTGCCTCAATATTTCTTTGCCAGTTTTAGGGCCTGTTTAGCGAAACGCTATTAACTAAGCTAAGCTACTGATTAACAAGTCTAAGGAATGCATTGACTGCATTTTCAGATGACAACAAACTAGTTTTTGGCATGCAAATCATTGAAATGCATTATTCAGAAGTCAATAATCGTCAAGAGCTTTCCTATCCCTAACAATCTCTTGTTCCTTAACTGAATATCTTAAGCTGAATATATGAATATATTGCTGCTGGGACCTTTGACACAAGATCGTTATCGATAGGTAGTATTGAATGTAGTTAAATTACATTTAACTATTTTAATTTGTATAAATTTCAAAGCAACTTTTCGAATGCTAGAAATGCTTCTAGTAATATATGTAGGTATACAAAATATGTAAAAAATAGTTCACTTTAATGTTAAATGGGAAAGAGTATCTCAGGGCCTTACACGCGGGTTACAGAGCTGTTGATCAACCGGCTATTGTCCGGTTTTTGCCAAGGGTATTGGCCTAAAATGTAGCCAAGTAATGGACAGACAAAGACCTGCTTGGGTTTTATGAAAGACCAGGGCCAGTTGTTGTTGTTGTTGTTGTTGTTGTTGTCGCCGCTGTCGATGTCGATGTCGATGACGCTGACGATGATGATATGCGGCACGATTATAGGAAATGGGTCATACAATACACAGGCATAACAGTGTAACTACCTTGTCAAGGCAGGTTGAATGTTTACCGTTTAACGCGCGCACACATACACATACACACAGACAGACACAGATACAGGCACAGACACAGTTATACGAAATACTGCAGCTACAGATTGGTCTTCATGTTTGGTTAACACGCGCAGAGGCGTGGCTCGATTTTGTGGCGGTGCAGTGGTGCGGCGGCTCATGTTGGCTCTGTCAGTGCTTAAGCGCGCGAATTTTAAAGTCACTCTGAAAAGAGACGAGCCACAGAGCGAAAGAGAGCGAGCTAGTGGAAGAGCGAGACGGCGTGCGGCAAATCATGCGATGAAAAAGTTGATTTTCAAGAAATTTCACTTTAGAATATGAGGCGGAAGAAGAAGTTGTGTGTCTGTTGTGCTTTGGGGCTGACCGAAATTGGTAAAACTGGATTCCCTGGGAAGGTCCATTGATAAATTTACAGTTACGTGATGAGAGCCACTCGGCATCAGTCAGTGGTGTTTAAACTTTAATTATGCGGCAGCTAGCGAGCTGTCTCTGTAGTGGTGGTCGATGGGCCCTCGAAACAGCGGATATGATTCGATAATATCATGAAAGAGCTGTGCCAATTTAACACATTTCTTAACTCGACAACAACAACAACAACAACAACAATAATAATAAAAAAAATAAACGCTGCGTCAGTGAAAGAAATATAAAATACAAATGACCAAGAGAAGAAGAAGAAGAAGAAGAAAAAACTAAAAGTCAACAACAGAAAAAATTCAAGTCTCTCTCTCTCTCTCTCCCTTTATCTATGTCTGTCTCTCTCCCTCGCTCTTTCGCTCTGGCTCTGGCTCTGACTCTCTGGAAATAGATTTTTTTTTTTTATTATTTTTTGCTGTACCTCTAATGAAAACGAAAGTTTGGCTAACCAAAAAAAAAAAAAAATTACCAAATTTAAATACGTTGGAAAAAAAAATCAAAATAAAACACAACAACATATTGCGGAATTTAGATATTTAAAAGTGAAAGCCATGGGCTGGCCCTCCGCTTTGGACTTGAATTTGAGACGCATTTCAGACAAATATGTCCGCATTTCAAAGAGATGTTCCATATATACATCGCTACAACGACAGACAGACAGACCGACAGACCGACAGAAAAACCATGCGACGCAACGTGTCGCATCAACAGTTCCTGTCCACGTTCAATATTTGAACAGTGTTTAATTTGAATTTCATTGTTGTTACCTGCTGGTAATTAGCTAAGGCATTAACAACGGCAATAATTTCCCCGTTTGGCTGTGAGGTGCAAAGTGTTCAGTATGGGAGAAAGGGAAGGGGCAGGGGGGCGGGGCGGAAGTCGCGAGATGCTGTTTATATAGGTGAGACAACTTGAACTTTGATCGACATAGGTAGATGCCGGCGCTGCTTTCAATGCTGGGTGTGTTTCCTGACCAGAAGGGTTACGGAATCGTCTAGCCCCGACTCACACACACACACACACGCAGTTCTAGCGAAATGGTAATTTTTGTTTGAGCTTAGCAAAACAACAATCACTTAGCAAGATTTGCATTTCTTGTCGTCATTTTGTTGACAGATTCATTCAATATTTTACAACTGAAACTTTTTAAGGAGAATGACGTGTGCTTGATTTATAGCTCTTACTGCTAGCTCTTTCCGCCTGGCCTGGTCTGGCCTATGCGTTTTCCATGTAATTCTAAATACACACGTGTAAATGTGTAATTAGAGCTTTCATGTCTGCAGCTGCATCAGTATTAGTGAGCTTCGGCAAGCTCAGCTTGCTGGCATTGTCCAGCGCTGAGCTTTGGCCTGTCCGTGCCTCGCGTCTGTGTGCGATTTGCTGGGGTCCCGCGATTACCGTGTGTAGCGCATTTGCGCAGCAGCTAAGCTGAATGAGTGCTTAAATCGAACCCGATGCGATGCCGCCGATATAGAATGCCCGCTCACAGGCAACGCAGCGCGCATTCGTAGTCTGTCATCGATATCGACAGCAGCGTGTGGTCTTGGCCGCTTTTCCGTTTGGTTAGTTCCTCAATTGGCGCCTAAGCGGCTTAAGCTCTTTAAACCGCTTGGCGTGCTCGTGCTATTGTGCGTTAAATTGAATTGCGGTTTCAGCCCGTGCTGAAAAGGATATACGCCGTTTGTATACATACTATGCATATCACGAATGTATGTGTGTCTCAGTGGAGTGTGGTTCGTGTCTTGCCGACGTCACGAAATTCGTTTGCTGCTGGCTGCCGTCCAAGGATACAAATCGCACCACCACCTACGTCATTTGGCCGAAATTGATGTCTGCTCGGCTTCGCTGTTGTGGGGCATCCGTTTAGGGGCTTCCACAAGCACATGCCACATGATCTGTCAGAGACGGCTATATTTAGGCATAGGCTCTCTCGCCTCTTGTGACACTTTGATAGATGGACAGGCACGGGCGAGTCGTCTGTGATGTGGGTTCTCGATTGAATGCCGAACTCACTCTCTATTTCCAGCTGTGGCTAAATATAAATGCAAACAGTTTCGCTTTCTTTACCACAGAGCACACTCAGACTACCCTATTTAACTCAGAATGTGTCAATGTATAATGCATAATTAATTAATTGTAATCCTCTTATTCACTCCCTCCCTCCCTCTCTCTCTCTCTCCCTCTCTTTCTCTCATTGCAGCACAATTTTTGTCGTCTCTTCCACGCGCAGACAACTAGAGAGCAAAGGACTCTAGGCTCTGAGTTTGACAACTTTTCTAGTTTTCCAGCTAAAAGTCGTTAATACATATATATAAATAATTGCGAAAATGGAAAACTGTTTCACGGCAATAGCAACAACAATTTCAGCAGAATTCTGTGAAACCTAATTGTATATTAGCCATTATAATAACTAAAGCTAAAGCACAATTAGCAGCGTTGTGTTCCAACTAAATAAACGAAAGCAAAAATCAACTTCCCCAACAACTTCCAGAACGAAAAAGAAAAATAATAGGAAAACAAAAGAAAAAGAAAAACCGAAGCGTAACTTGAACAATAAAACATAATTTTAGCTAAACAAGAAGAAGAAAAAGCGCACACTGCAAATGATTCAACTGCTTCCTAACTAAGCTCAGTGCGAGGGATACTTTAAGGGTAAAACATATTCATATATATATATATATAGATAAATATATATATATTTATATAAATAAATTCTGAAATATAAAAGAAAAGAACAAGAACAACTGCAACACGTAACGGCAACATGTCACACGCCGTCGCCATCAAAACAGAAACGGAAAACTGCATCAGCAGCAACAACATCAACAGCCTCAAACAGTCGCCACAGCCCGCACAGCAACTGCACAGCAGCAGCAGCAACAGCAGCAACAGCAGCAACAGCAGCAGCAGTAATAACACCAGCACCAGCAGCAACAGCAGCAGCAGCAGCGGCAGCAGCAGCAACAACAACAACAACAGCGATGCTACGTTCTCATTGCTGAATGGCACTCACTCGCATCAGCGCAGCAATGGACTCACTGCTGCGGCGCACGCCGCTGTCAGCTATGCCAGCTCCGGCAGCGGAAGTGGTGCGGGCACTGGCGGTGGTGCTGGTGGTGGTGGTGGTGCGGGTGCGGGCGCCGCAGCTGGCCTCAATGCGAGCCTGCTTGGCGCTGCGCCCGCCACAGCGCTGCCCAGCAATGGGGGCCTGCAGTCACCCTACGAGCGCTACAGAGTCGACGATACCAGCTATGTGCCCATCGGACAGTTCTATGCTGGACGGAGCGTCTTCATAACGGGCGGCACTGGCTTTATGGGCAAGGTAAGTAATATGTTAAATATAAAAGATAAGCAGAGATCTATCTTATATAGAGTTTGTTCTGCACGATATCGAATAGTAGAGTAATCATACTGTAAATAATCGTTTTTCGATGCCAACATAATTGGGAATAGTACGATCTTTAATTCATTGCTTCATTAGTTGATTATTTTAATCGCGATCGATACAAGTGTGGGATGAAGTGGAGAGAATATCATTAACAAGCGTTAGCTCAGCTTTATATAGAATAGTCGAAGAACCTTTAGTTTAGTATTTGAATTAATTGATTAAGGCTTTTCATTCATAAAATAAGGAATCGAGTGTCTGATTTAGACTATGCAATCGGATAATCTATTCGTTAGAATCGTAGCTGCTCAGCATTGTTAAATCTGCCAGGGAATCAACATATTGTTGTTTTAAAGATTGTTGAATGATCGACAACCAATAATCAAGTAATCGTCAATCGATTATTAGTAATAGATTTTAAAAATCTTTAATGAACTGTTTGGGCAATCCATGTTCAGATAAATAATTCGAATATACATATATTTAGCTTTCCAATTGGGAAATTCGTAGCATGGCCGATGAACTTGTAACTTTCCCATTAGGGCGTGGCTGATTTTTTACTATCGATGACGCAGCTGATAATGAAATTGCCAAAACTTAAAGTAAAAATTGAATCTTGAATCGAATAATCGGTAATTGACTATCGAATAATAGTTGGCAGCTCATCAAAAAATTATTTAAATCATGATTGTTATGTTGAGGCTCTCAATTCTTCAAAGAGGCTCTGACTTAAATCGATGGTCTGAATTCAGCTAGCCCATCTAAAGATTGGTGACTTTTCTTTGAAGTCGCGACAGACTCATGCTTGATTTGGCGATGGCACATTGTAAACTATCGTAAAATCAACTTGAGATAATCGAAAAATCGATGATGTTCGTGCTTGGCAGATATTCTACTATTGTATATTTTTTGCAACTTCTCATTAAATATTAACAAGCGTCACAGCGTCGCCTCTTGCCCACGCAGCTGCGACTGTGTAGCTAGGCTTCCAGCAGTTTTTATTGCATACTTAAGCGGGCTGCACGCACCATTCATCACGCATACGCCACGTGCGCCGCATGCAATTGTTGTGTGCCATTTGCATCATGCGGAGTGTTGAACTCTGGCCACGCCTGGCAACGAATCGAGGTTATTCTATTGCACTCTCGAAATACTTAGTTACATGCAAATCAACATCTCAGGCAAACAACTAACTGAATGCGAGTGCGAGTGTGAGTGTGTGAGTGTGAGTGAGCTGCTTCAAGATGTCGAGTGTCGCATCTCAGCCGGAAAGTCTGGTGTTGACTCATCGCCCCGGCATGCATAGACATGCACATTCACTCGCACACATGCCACATAAGCTCTAATTGTTCCTCACACACACACACACACACACACACAACTTTGACTCTTAACATATCCTGTAGCTGTTGTGCCAATTTTCAGCCATTGTTTTGCATATGTGTGCGTGACCACTGTATGCCTGCTTGTGTGTGTGTGTGTGTGTGTGTTGCATTCCTCCTGTCTGCGTCATTATGACATGTAATCGCTGGCGCCGGTGCCGCTTACACTGCCACTCAATTGTACAGTGAGGCAAGCGTTGCTCGTACTGCGAGCGCTCAATGCTGTTTCGCATCGATTTTGTAATCTAGTTGCCAGGCACTGTAATTTAAATGCCATAACCTGCTACCTGTACGTCACAACATCGAGCACGCCCCCAGGCAGCGCTGCTGCTCCAGTTGCTACTCCTGCTCCTGCTCCTGCTCCTGCTCCGTTGTCATTATTATAGTCGCTGTTGTCTCCCTTTGTTATTTCGAATACAATTTTCACTTTGTTATTGGGGGCGTGTCTGGCTGTGCGCCCCACCAATCCACCAATCCACCAGTCAATGGCCTTCGTCAATGGCTATTGATAACATTCGATTCGGTGTTTAGCCATTCATTCAACGTGCCTCGACTGCTCACTTAGCGGCCACCTCAGCTGTTGGCACCACAGGGTGCTGGCCGTAATTATAGTTTACGGCCTAATGAATATGTCTTACTTGCGAGGGAGTCAGCCTGCTCCCACTCGACCAGCCGAAGTGGATTAATCAACAGCAAGTGCCTCAAAAAATCACCCACAGTGTGATTGATGCGTAGCCTTAGCTTAACTAAATATATGCTAGAACATATCAAGTCGTTCTTACCGGGAAATTCTATATTTATTGCAGCTGAATAAGTTGAAACATCTATTTACATTTATATTCATTTAATTTATGATTCCCATTAAATGAAATTCGATTAAATAGCGTGGCTTAGTGTGAATCAGTTTATTAGGTATTCAGTTGAACAATCTTGTTCATTAATGAATCTGTTCAGTCAATTAGTCTGTTGACAATTCTCGCTGATTTTCTGACAAATAATCTTGAAACTATCATCCTATTTTTAATAAATCTGCTCTCCATTTTCAGGTGCTCGTGGAGAAACTGTTGCGTTCATGTCCGGATATAAGAAATATATATCTGCTGATACGACCGAAGCGCGGCCAGGAGGTTTCGGCGCGTCTCACAGAGCTCCTCAATGCACCGGTAATACCTATGATTTATCATAATCAAATTTCAGATCTAACTAGAGTTATCTTTCACTTATTAGCTTTTCGAATCATTGCGTCGCGAGAAGCCGAAGGATTTAAGCAAAGTCATACCCATATCCGGCGATATAACGTCGGAGGAGCTGGGCATCTCAGAGAGCGATCAGGTGGGTTTCGATGATGATAATGACGATGATGTAAGCACTTCATGCTAATTATTTTCTTTTGCCCGGCAGAGCCTACTTTGTCGCAATGTTTCCGTTGTCTTTCACTCAGCTGCCACCGTGAAATTCGACGAGAAGCTCAAGCTGTCAGTCACAATCAATATGCTGGGCACAAAGCGGTTGGTCGAGCTCTGCCATCGCATGATGTCCCTAGACGTGAGTACATCGAAGATCAGCTAAAGTTCACTGCTTATATGGGCGGCTCTTTCAGGCACTCATTCATGTATCCACTGCCTATTGCAATTGCGATAGAACCGATGTATCAGAGGTTATCTATGCACCACCCTATAATCCCGATGACATCATCTCATTAATCAACTGGCTTCCGGAGGATATACTTGATCAGGTATGTCTACCGCTAGAACTATATAATTATATAATCGATCTCATGCGACGCTTCTTCTTCTAGCTGACACCGCGCCTCATTGGCAAGCGTCCCAATACGTATACATTTACAAAAGCCTTAGCGGAGCATATGTTACTTAAGGAGGCTGGAAACCTGCCCGTTGCCATTGTGAGGCCCTCAATCGGTAAGTATCTTGTAGACCTTGCTTATAATGTGTACTGAGTGAATGTCTCGCGCATTTGCAGTGACTGCCAGCCTGAATGAGCCCTTCGCCGGCTGGGTGGATAACTTCAATGGGCCAACGGGTCTAGTCTCGGCGCTGGCCAAGGGCCTCTTCCGCACGATGATGTGCGAAAAGAACTATGTGGCCGATATGGTACCTGTCGATATTGTGATTAATTTAATGATTGCGGCCGCCTGGCGCACAGCGACGCGCAAATCCAATAATTTACTCATCTACAATTGTTGTACCGGCCAGCGTAATCCCATCATATGGTCTGAGTTTGTCAGATATGCCATGTCCAGCGTGCGCAAACATCCCTTGGGTAGGTCTAGCCCTCATTCGTTCTCTCGCTCTCGCTCTCATCAGTGATCTCTATATTTGACTCCTTTTTGCAGAGGGCTGTCTGTGGTATCCAACTGGCGACCTGCGCATGAATCGTCCAATGAACACGCTGAATTGTATATTAAAACACTTTCTACCAGCTCACATACTGGATGCAGTGGCGCGCATCATGGGCAAGAAGCCATTGTAAGCAGTGCCTACTCACACACGCACACACTCAACCACTCACTCAATACTAATGCAATTGATATCGTTCCAGTGTTGTCAACGTACAAAACAAAATCGCCAAAGCTGTCGAGTGCTTAGAATATTTTGCCACGCGCCAATGGCGCTTCAAGGACGACAATGTGAATGGCCTGCTGCATACGCTCAGTCCGAAGGATCGTGAGATATTTGTGTTCGATGTGCGCAACATCGACTGGGACAAATACGTGGAGCGCTATGTCCTGGGCTTCAGGGAGTTCTTATTCAAGCAACGGCCCGAATCGCTGCCCGCCAGCAGAAAGCGTATGGTCAGGTGAGTTCAAATCGCCAAACCTCCATTCGAGTTGGAATCGATCTAATTGGACCTTCTTATCTGACCTAGATTGTACTATCTGCATCAGCTGATAAAAGTGGCTGCCGTGCTGCTCACCTGGCGTTTTCTTATGTCTCGCTCGAAGCGCTTGAACGACTTGTGGAGCGCATTTCTGGAAAATGTGCTCAAGATCGCGCGTCTAATACCATTTTTGTAATAATCCGGCTGGCAACAGCAGCAGCAACCGCGGCAGCAGCAGCAGCAACAGCATAAATCTTGTCTGGTGATGTTCTTCTTTGCAATTTCTAAATGCCTACAACATGGCGTACATTTTAGAGGTTTTTAGCAAATAATTATAATCATATTTTTATATATGTTAAACGAGTAAACAGGCCCAACATCGGGCTCATTGAGTATGGCATCCGTGAATAAGAAAAGACGAAACACACGCAAATGCTGCAGATGCGGTGGCGCAGGTGTCTGCCCACATCTGTCCACCGGTCGGATGTGCAATTTTTGAGATATAAATATATATACATAATAATATATATATTGAAATGCCTCTCCATGGGTGTCGGTTCTCTCGTTGGCGAGTTAAAGACGTAATTTTTGTAAATTTTGTGCAGTCAACTAAGTAAAAGTAATACTATTATAATACGAATCAAAAGAGCGTATATATAACATATACAAAATAAAATATTCCACCTTTGCGAAAAAGAAAAACACAAACCGAAAAATGAAGAAATAAAAACTTGGAAATACGAAAAATTCGTAATAAATTTATATAGTGAATATAACTACGTCAAAGATAATGAAGCAATTTTGCAGTAATTAGAAATTCCGAATACTTTTGCAACAAAACACAAACACAAACAACAAATGAAAACTATTTAACAAATTTAATAACAACAAATACAAATTAGAGAGAAAAACAAAAAATTATATGAAATGGCTTGTTATTGCTTTAAATTACATAACGTAACGTAAACTATGCTAATATTAATTATAAATTATATTACTAGTTTTAACATTTTTACAATTAAAATTAAGTTTTCAATTTATATATATGACAAAACAAAACAACAAAAAACACAAAAAAAAAAACACAGAATTATATATGACAAATTCAAAACCAATTGAAAAAAAAAAATAATAACAACTCAAGAAATGCAGTTTATAAATATACAAAATTCAATTTATGTATATGTACTATATTACGACAAATATGGCGAAAATGATACATAAAGCAAACACACAACAAAATACAAAAAATTACAAAACCAATAAATAATTAAACGAAAAATATATTTATATAAACATCAAAAATAATTTCTTAGCATTTGCAGCCTACAAATTAAGCGTAATCAACAGAAGAAAAAACTGAAGTTAAAATACAAAATTATATATACAAATTATTCATATATATATGCATATGTATATGTATGTCTAGCTATATATATGTATGTATATATGTATAACTGAGAGCGAAGTTTTTGACATGAGATTGTATACACGATTAGCGAAACATCATTATTAAATTTATATATACATAACAAATTAAACTTGCTAAACCGAGAAGGAACACAAAGAGCATATAGTAAGAACATTCCATCCAATTAGTAGCGAAAACAAAAAAAAAACAGGTGCATCCGATTCCGATCAATTTTTGATGCCCGTTCATGCAGTGCAAGAGTGGAGCATATGCAATGTTCGCCTGGCGCGTCTTCACTGTGGGATGGGCGAACCGGAAAACTGAATTCCACTTCCGACATGGATAGATCGAGGGTTTTTCTTTCTTCAAGCAAAGTGATGTTGATTGAGCGAGTATTGTGCATTCGGTTGCATCCGACTTCCTTTTATCAGTTCTGTTCTGTGCCGCATTCCCACATCTATCTATCAGAAAGTAGTCCGAGCTAATTCATTTTGCTTTCACATAACTCGTAAGGTTGGGGTCTAACTATATAAAAGACAACAGACATTTCGTGCAATTATTATATATTTATTTTACGTTCTAGATTCTATCCAATTTGATTTTAATAATAATTCATAAACAACAAACAAAAACAAAATAAAAACACTTCCAATATTAATGAAGAAAACGAAAAGTTTAGTTTATTTGCCTTAATACCTTTGCTAGTTGCAGTTAACTCGAAACGTTTAGAAATCTCGACTTTATTCCTTCTTTTTTGTAATACAGTTATCTAGATTAGAGCCTAGAGAAATATATGAACAATTAAAGAGAAAGCTAAAGTAAATGATAAACAAATTGTAAAACGCTATTTAATGACTTTAGTTCTTATTGGCATGCAAATAATTAAATTTAGTAATTTTTCATTAGAGCCGAAGATGAAATTGAAATTGAAGAAAAAACTAAAGAAAAATTATATAAAACAACAAAACGAAACAAATAAAAAAAAACATTAAGGAAATTGTAAAAAATAAATACAAACTGTTTTCAATGAGCATTGAGGGATAATAAGAAGACATTCCATATTTTTTTGTACACATGAATTCTCATTTATTATTATTATTTTTTTTTTTCACTGCAGATTTCACAATTCATGCGCTTACACGCTATCCATCTTTAAAATTGTCTTTACGTTGGCTTTACCGATTTCGCAATATCATATATATTTATTTTATAATATATATATATATTAATATTTGTTTTTGCTTTATTTATTTCATTTATTTTTTAGAGGTTTGTTTGTCAGATGTTGTGATTATGGAATTAAAAGAGCGATAAACACTTTTTAGTTCGCATCGTTCAGACAAATCAGGGACAAAGTCATGATTCATACAAATGTGTCGAAATTCGGTTTGTGTTTCCAATTAAATTGCACACAAACTTGTTCACAGGGGCTTGATATTGAGACATGTAGAGTAAGTAGTATTTGAGAAAAGGTGGTTTACATATATGTATATACTTTTTGTTTCGTTCTTCGATTTAATTTTTACTTTGAAAGTGTCTTGAAGGAAATCATAAATAGCTTTTTAGTTATATTTGAAAAATATCGTGTGAGAGCTACAGTTGAGAGAATTTGAATTTGTTCAGCAAAACTTTCATTTTATTAAATGTGTTGATTTTGTTTTTGTTTGAGTGTGCTTTGCCTGCGAATTGTTTAATATGTAGTAAATACTAAATGGACTTTTGTTGTATGCTTAAGCGCTTTTTACCTTTAGTTTATTTTAGTTTAACTCTCAATCATCATTTGTCTCCTTCAAGCGCCCCTACTCCGCATTTAACAATTTCCGTATATATATAATCATCATTTATTATATTATTAGCACGCTTTTCCTTAACTCTGCCTCACGATCTAAACTCACATTTTCGCTTACAAAATGTTGTTTTTAATTTTATTTTTATTTTTTTCTAGTCTTTACGTTTCTGTTTCTTCTTCTTCATCGTCATTATCATCTGGTTTTTTGTATTTTGTTTTGCTTTAAATGTAACAAAATAAATTACGATTTAAATGAAAACCTTCAATTTTACTTTATTATATTCAATATTTATATAGCTAGAGCTAGGTCTACGCCTGTACCATTATTTGTATTTATTTATTACACTTTCAACTGATTTGCTTATCCCCTCTTGAAGTATATAAAAAATACTATTTATTGTTTTTTATATACTTAGCATTATTATCATTATTATTAATTTTTTTATTTTAGTATTTGTTGTGTATATATTTGTTTTTATAAATTTTCGTTGCGACATTTTATTGTGGAGCAATGAAGTGTATCCAAAACTACTGATATTGGTTGGCGGCAATATATATACATATATTTCTATATATGTATGCACTTGAAATAAAACATATGTAGGTATATATACCTGGGCAGCAGTGGATGGTCTGCAACTGAAGTGAAATCGATTCTGGAATAGATCAAGAGCTGCGCGCCAACATTTGAATATGGTATATCGTCTGGTATCTGTGATAAATATGTATTTATGTAAGTAACTCTTGTCAGGTTCTGGATTTTAGGTACACAAGGTGAGCAGTTTGTCAGGTTACGATGTGGAGATATATCAAAAACTAAGGGAACACAGGCTGTCCATGGAGGAGCTATCAATGGTATACCATTCGAGTGATCTTGATGCAATGCAATTTCGACCCATCCACCACAACCTCAATGCAATACAATACAATACAAAATGGAAACGATATTGTCGAAACAAAAGAGTTGGTGAATAATGTTAAACTCTATTTAGCTTGAGTACGAGAATTTCGCTTATATTTTACGCATATATAAGTTTGTTTCATTTAATTTGTTTTATTTTGTTTTTGTTTTTCGTTTGTTTTTTTTTTTTTTTTTTCGTAGGTATGTATTTGTATTTGGGGAACGCCCGTACATGCCTCGGCACAACCATAATAGATACACATATAAGTAAGTATGTATGTAGTATAAATGTTCATCCCTCCGCGTGATATACATAATTACTATATGTACTTCTCATCTCTCTCATTTGAATGCAAATCAAACTGTTTGCGATCTCGTTCTTGAGCAAAAAGTAAGTTTTAAAGTTAGATTCTAAATTGTTAGCCGTGAATGTTTGAGATATATTTGAAGCATATTTTCTTTTTCCTATCCATGTCTTGATTTTACTTTTCTTTTTTTTTTCGAATTAATGTGTTGCATATTTATTTTATTATAACTTATGTTTTTCTTTTAACGTTTATTTGTACACATTCTTAATTTTTCAATTTTTTTTTTTTGTCGGAAGTTAGACCTATGTAATTTACATACTCGATTATTACGTTTGTCATTTTTGCGTATTCAGCATTATTTGGTTTTAGTTCCTCATACATATATATATGTAGTTATATATATAAATTATATATGTATATACACATACACATATTTATATGTATACATGTAGATGTATGCGCATATAAATGTACTTGTACATAAGCAAAACATATACATATACATATACACAATATTATCATTCGTTATATGCATATACATATATATAGCGATATATTTGGTTATGCATATATATGTACATATATATACATACATATATGGATGCTCTAAACACACATTGAATATGCTTACAGTTAATATACATATACATCATATAAATTAAATGTTTTCATTAATATTTTTAGCGTCCATTGAATTTCATTTCATAAATTTTTTAATTTGTTTTCTTTATTTGTGTGTATTGTATAATTTTTCAAGTTTTTTTTTTTTTGTTCCTTGTTTAATATAAATATGTATGCATTTTAAATTTTTTCCTTTTGTATATTTTATGTCATTGTGTATATATATTTTTATAAAAATTATATAATTTAAAGCTTGTTTGTTTCGTCTGAACTAAATGTAAAATTTGAATAATCACCTCTGCTCGGCCCTCGAGCTTCGACCGTTGCAATTTAACACATGCAGAAACAACATTTTTTCCAATAATATTTTCTTTTCTCTCTTTGTTAATTATTTAAACAAATGCGAGTTGCAGCTCGCCTTTGCTTGGCCAACGCAAAACGTGAAACTATTTTACAAAAATTTTTCAATAAACGTTTAAAGTTTTCTTACTTTTAGTCG